ATCATTACACACTTGAGGTTCGCAAGTTCTGCGTGAAATCGTGGACAAAAATTGATATCTGTTACTTCAGATCAAAAAATGTGCGCTCAACGATACTGGTGACTACAAAATCGAGGTCAAAAATGAGGCTGGTAAAGCTTCTAGCAGCGGAAAAGTGAGTTTGTTCGGCAGAGATCTTGTTATAAAGAAAATTCGACACATTTCAGCTGACTGTGGAACCAAAGCTAACATTCCTCAAACCGTTGAAAGACCAGGAAATCACCGAGGGTGAAAATGCTGAGTTCCAAGTGGAAACGAATGCCAAGCCAAGAACAGTCAAATGGTGAGTGATTCCAGTCCCAGTCTGATAAACATCTCAGATTTTCCTCCTGAGTCTCTGAGCAACTGTCCTCTAATTCGTGTCTAGCAAGAAACACCATCACCTTAGGTACAAAAATGGTAGAGAAATTGCTCCGGATGCTCGATTCGTAGTCTCCGAAGAGGATACCAAGTTCAAGCTTGTCATCAAGAATGCAGTTCGCGAAGATGCCGCAGAGTATAAGGTGAGGCATTCGTCAGTTCAGTTACTATGAAATGAAGTCCTTTTATGTCTGAAAAAAATGTTGTCGCTGAAATGTAAGAAGGATGTTCGTATCTTATCTTTCCTGTGAGAATGAAAGGACAACGAAGTTCAAAGCTATCTTTAGGTTGTCCTAAGCAACTCTGCTGGCGATGCCGACTCATCCGCTAAGCTTACCGTCAAGAAAGCCAAACCTGGTGTACCCAGGATTCTCAAGGGTCTGGAGGATCAGGTTAGCTTCAACACAAATTTTATTTTGGACGTCAGTTGAGGTATTTTTGGTCTTAATACACTCCTATTTAGGTCGCCGCCAAAGGTGCTGCGCTCATCTTTGAAGTCAAAGTAGATGGTGAAGTTGAGGAAGTTAGATGGGCAAAGGATTCCGTACCAATCTCTGCCGGAGCCAATGCCATCATCGAGAAGGTTGATGATAAGACGTAAGTGTCAGAAATTTTTTGTATGCAGCAAGAGGGGATGGG